CAGCTACCTCGACCTCTAATTTCAATCCCAACAAAGTGGGGGAACCACATTCCAGAGTTAGTTGAGAACCACCGACATCCCATGCACAGTAATACATCTTTCAATACAAACTGTACCCCATGAATAAAGAAACCACAACTTTTCTTTGCAAACCTGTGAAAGAAATTACTCAAAATGAATTTTTTTAAAATTCTCATTTCCAAAGGAAAAAACACTGCATAAATATAAAGTGCTACAAATCCTGGTTTGAACGCTGTAATCAGACCATTTAAGAAATCCTGTTCCAGAGTAAGACAAATATTGTATGATCTCACTTATACACAGAACCCAGAAACCAAACCAAACCAAACCACGCACTCATAAATCCTGGGAACAGACTGCTGTTTGCCAGAGGTGGGGGATGAGGATGGGGGAAATGGATGAAAGAGGTCAAAAGGTACAAACTTCCAGTTGAAGACATGTAAGTCCTGGGGATATAATGTACAGAATGGCAAGTACAGCCAGTAAGCCTGGATTGCACATTTGAAAGTTACTGAGAGAGTAGACTTAACAATCTCATCACAAGAAAAATTTATTTTAACTGTGTGAGGAGATGGATATTAACTAGACTTCTAACAGTTATGACTTTGCAATATATACATATATCAAGTCACTATGCAGCACACCTGAAATACAGTGATACACGTCAGTTATATTTCAGTTAGAAAAGATATATATCCCCAATATGTTCCAAAGAGCCACCACTTGCCTTCCCTCCCCTAAAAAGAAACCTTGTCCCTGCATTGTCAGTGGGGAACAGCCAACCTACCCTGAAGAAGCCGGGCATGGGGACCCGTCTGCAAGGATAGAAGCCTTGCCGTTCTCCCAGAAATGAAGCCCTAGTATGGAATTTTAGCTTGTTGTTTCAGAGGCTACTTTTGCCAAGTTGCATTGTCACAGACACAAGTAAGTAGCAACTCCAACCCATGCTAAGAGTAAGTGGCCCTGAAGTACTCACTCCCACAGAAGTGATAATTTAAGAAACATAAGACTATGGGAGGGTTACATTTATATAAGTCTAAATATTCAACATTACAGTGGGGACAGAATAAAACTTTTCATGTTCTATGACATTATATTGCTTTAGTTAATAGTGACAGTTATCATTTTATTGGGCAATTTTCAACATCACTGCATTTCAGACATTATGCTAAGTATTTTTCATGGATGTGCTTTTTCATTTTCCCAACAACCCTGCAAGGTAGGTACCTGTATCCCTCTTTAACTGATGGGAAAAAAGGGGGAATGAAGGTTGAGTTACTTCCTGGAAGTCATTCAGCTAGTAAATAATCCAGGTCTGACAGGTCCAGAATTTTCATCAACAATATATAAACTAAAGACATCTCAAGGCTCTAAAATAAGTTTTTAAAAGACCAAGTTGTTACAGTGAAAAGTTTCAGAAAGCCACAGGAAAATAAACTATCATTCCAAAAATAAACTTAAGTTGTGTGAGAAAAAAAAAAAACAAAAAGCATTGCCTCTAGGCTAATGATTGAAACAGACAAGTTATTCTTACTCTTTAAAAAAATTTTTTAAGGAACTAAAATCACTTTGCAACAAGTTTTCACCATGTACTGTTAGGTGCTGGTATACAGAAATCAGAAACAGTTCTTCTCAAAAGTCAGTGGTGCTGGTGCGGGATACAGGTACAATGATAGACCATGATACACTGTGGAAAAGGACGTAAGAGTGAGGTGTAGGGCATTACAGAAGAGTAAAGAATGGCACCAAGTCTAGCCATTGGGTGGTAGGGGTGGCTGCTCATTCCAGGCAAAACCTGGGCACAGACCAGAGGCAGGAAGCAGTGCAGTAGTGTGGTACATGGGGGGCCCACAGGCAGGTCAGAGTTGCTGAAGCATGGAGTGAACGGCAGAGAATGGGCCCAGAGAAGGCTGGGGAGGTGGGCCGGGTCCAAATTTTAACCAGTTTAAAGTTTAAACCAATGAAGGGATTTAAGCACAGAAGTGACATGTTTATTATTACCCTTGAGCTCAATCTTTGGGGGCTGTGTGAAGTATGGACTTGGAGCCACAGAGCCACATGTTCAACTCCTGCCTCTAGAGCTTATTTACGGAGTGAAGTCTTAAAGACAGAAAACCGTCTAAGCTTCAGTCTTGTCAACTGTAAAATGCAAAGTAATGAGATAATGAATGTAAAGCACTGCAATATAGTAAATGCTCACTAAATGGGAGCTGTTTTTATTACTGTCGATGAAAAAACAGACAATCCTGAGAAATACTAACACAACACAACTGACAAAATTTGATGACCACCTGGCTATGGGAGTGGGGGAGGGGGACAGGAACACCACTGATGAGATCTAGGTCTAGGTTAGGGGACTGAATGGCTGGTGGCTGGAGGTACCCCTGGCAGAGAACATGGGAGGCAGAACAAGCCTGGGAATCTGAGTCTGTTGAGGAGGAGGTGTATCCAGGAGCGGGCATGCAGGAGGTGGATGGATGAGTTTGGAGTCCCAGTGTAGATGTGGTTTGGAGTCAGAGAAGGGAAGAGGTCACCTGCAGAGGGTACATTCAGACCGAAAGGCAATGAAACACCAACAATTAAAGGGTGAGAAAGAGAAGCCCCCAAAGAAAAAGCACCCCCAGAAGACAAGAAAAACCAGAGGGAGTCATCAGTGGCGCCCAATGCAGCTGACAAGTTCAGTAAATTCCAAATGTGCCCTCAAAATTTAGCAGAAGCTGTTGATTTTAGGCCAGAAGGCAATTTTAGTAGGCTGAGGGAGCCAGAAACCCAACTGCTGGGTTAAGGGAAAACTGGGGGTGAGGAAGCAGAGTCTACCATAAATCTGCTAAGAGGGATGCAGAGCAGTTGTGTAATTGTAAGGGTGGCACAGGGCAAAGGTTAGGATAACAATTATTGCTAGGGTGGAGCACTCTGAGCAATCTGAAAGCTGAGAAGGAAAAGGTAGCTGACAAAAGGTGATGATGCAGGAGAGAGAATCATGACAAAACAAGGTCTTTGAGGAAAATGTTTTAAGTGTCTACTGTGTGTCAGGCACAATGCTAGGCCCTGCAGACACCTGTCAACAAACCATCAGAGTGTGATATGGACACTAGTCCCTGGAGAGCATCCAGCCGGAGGAGCTCGGAAGGGTGTCCACCTGACTGTGGTCCTCCTGAAGCTGAGCCTGAGACTGATCACCTTTCTGCTTGCACCGCTGAACAACTGCAGTGTCTGACGCCCACTGGCTAGGCACTCACTCAAGATCCGTATGAACAGATAGATATACTTGTCAGAATATACTTTATTTCCAAGGGTAGAAATTTTGTAGAGAGGTATGAGAATACATTCTAAAACAGACAAAGGGAATTTGGGCATTAAAATACAATGAAATATTAACTACAATAAATAAAAATACACATGCTCAGAAAATATTCGCATCTACGAGCTGTGTATGGAGGCAAGTGGAGGCTGAGACAGTAGGGAGAACAGGGGCACAGGATTCAGGCACGTGGAGAAGGCTTGAGTGGTTCCAGAACTCTCTCTGGCCAAATGTATCCCCCGATCTACAAGCTTAGGCTTCAAATTCATTTACCATTTAAGAAGGGACAAAATTTTTCACCTCAAAATTGTAGATAAAGGATTCAAAAGGAAATGTGTGAGATTATACATCAGCTAAAACCCATTCGCCATCAAATCAGATCAGTCAGGCAGGCTCTGGCCCAAACTGACCTGGGTCCAAAGGTCCACCATTTACTGGCCATGTGACATGGGTTAGGGCCCCTTAACCTTTCCTGAGAAACCAACGATGAACAGATGAGTCCCCAAGCCCCTTCCAAATCTCTTGCTCAAAGTTCTACAGCAGTGATCCCTCCTGGGGACCACACATTCCTCTGAGACTCTACTGAGAGTCACAAATTCTACACACCAACCCCTAAAATAAATAGACACCTGCATACAAAATTCTGCAAACCACTTGAGAAGTCCCTAATCATAGACCTCCTTCCTAGTAGGAAAATTGCCAAGGTACAACTCTCTATAATGAGGGTGCTCTGTCTTCCTCAACAGTAATGGAGCCAGGTATCATGGTGACCCCTGCCAGACCCCCAGGGGACAGCCTGCCATGTTGACCCGTGTCCTCCTGAACTAGTCTCCTCATTGCGGAATTCCCCAGTGCCAAGCGCAGTCCCCTGAATGCACTAAGTACCCACTGAATGTGTGAACTAAGTTCATCAGGGCCTAATGGTTTGGATGGCTAGTTCTTGAGTTTTCAGACCTTTGGTGCTTCTGAGCAAGTATCAACTTCAACTCCTCCTTTGAGAGCCAAGTCCAGATGCACAGCAATCACTATGGGCTTAACAGCACCTGTCAACTTTCCAGAATCAATTTCTATTTAATTAGAGGGGTCTAGCCCACCCCCAGAAGAGAAGCTATACCTCAGTTCTAAAGCAGAATTTGATGACCCTCCCTTTCCCCCAAAAGAGAACACACTGTATCAGCTTTTGGTAGAAATCCCTTACATTTGTATAACCCTTTGTACTTAAGTTTTTCCAATCCCTCTCACATGCTTTAAATATTCATCTAGGAGGTAGGCAATATATGTGGCAATTCTACTTTAAAGATAAGGAAAGAGAATATAACATTTAAGTGATTACAGAGGGGGCTTTCAATATTGCCCAGAATCAGGACCCCAAGTCACATTTTTATACATATGCTAGTGTTTCTGTTATCCTTGTAACGAGGTAAGAGAGACCTCCTTAAATTGACAAAGTAAAATACCTGTGACATTTATTAATAAAAGGTTCAGTGATAACATCTAAATAGTACCTGTGATTTTAGAAACCAAAAGCCATACCAATGTAAGCAGTTTTATATATAATGATTAAATAGTTTAGTTTTCTCAATATTCAGTAAGAATTGAAAGAACCTATCATTTATGACTTGAAAAAAAAAAGCAAAATCCATGGTACATAGGAGGGGGGAGGGACTTCCATACTTACCTATTGCACAATGTAAAACCTAGAGGAAAAAAGGGGAAAGAATTGAATTAATAAAGATCAACAATTAATATAGTTCATATAAACTAGCCTGTTAGTAAAAATAGAGCAATGTCTGCCAGCAGTACTGAATTTGAATAACAAACATTCCATTTTTAAACTTGGCTATTTAACGAAATGTAAATTCTTGTTAGGTTTTTAGTTTGGGTATCTGTGGAAGATTTCCTAAGGAGAAAATCTCACTGTAGTCCTATCAGCTGTCAAGGACCTCTTTTATAATACATAACCTTGTAAAAGCTGCAGGTGTACATCTCCCACGTCCCATATTCTACAGAACAGAACCATCACAGACTATGGATGGAACACAGGGTCAAAAGAGCCTTTGTTGACTCCTCTTGCCTGGCAGGCCCTTTAATACAGACATTTCACTCTCCACAGCTCCACCCTCAGTTCCCATTGTGTCTGATTTGATGATCTCATTACAGATGTGTTCCCAGTCATCTGTAACCCCAGATCTCTGTGCTCTAGGCCCACTTTCCAGACTGCCCTTGGCTATCTCCATCTAGGTGTGCAGCAGCTGCTCGCACATGGTACGCCTCCATGGGAAGCTCGTCCCTTCCTTCCTTCATACCTGCTATACCACTTCCCTGTCTCTCAGGTTCAGCCATTCTTTCCTTCCCTTCACCTCCAAGTCCAATTGATTTCCAAGTCCTGCCACTGCTGCTACCATCTGTCTTCCCTGTTTCTTAGTTCCAGTGCCTTGAATGAGACTGCTGTCTCCTCTCATCTCAGTGGCCATCCCACTGGCTAATCAGGTTCTTCTAAATGCCCTTCCAATTCATCCTGTATCCGGCATTGCTTTAACCTGGTGATGGTAGTGATCTGAAGCTATCTACAAGACAGATTTAATAACGAAAGCTTTCCTAGATGATAAGACCTAACAGCTAATGTAGTGCACTTTAGAATTTGTATCTCTCTAGCAGTCATTGTGTTGTTTGATCCTAACAATAACCAGGGCAGACAGGCAGGACAGATGCCTCTACTTATAGACAAGCACACCAAGGCTTACAAAAGCTGTTCAACTTGCCCAAGGTAAGTGATGTCCACAATGAAGAACCTAGGTTTTATTTCTACTCTACTGATTTTTTCTATATTATTGCATTGTACCATTAGTTACAAGATAGCTAAAGCCAATACTTGACAAGATTTAGCTTATTAAAACATGCCTGATAGGTCTCTGTGCTCAAAACCTCTTTCATCATGTTTTTTTTGGAGGTGAGAGGGGCTTTGGGTTAAAAAAAATGAAGCTGCACTGATTTGTTGTTAACTGGTAAGAGAACAAAAGAATTACTATACTGGAGATCTTAAAATAATTTTCAGAAGAGAACACTGCTAAGAACATCAAATGTGTAAATATTAAAACATTAAATTGAACCTCCTGCTTCAAAGTTGAGAAAAACTAAAAGACATGTGTAGATTAAAATGAGGAATGAAAGACATGAACGGCATTCTCTGAGGCAAGACAGGTGACAGTGCCTAGACAGAAAACCTATTCTCTCCATGTAGGTGGCAAGACATCCATGCTGCTGATTAACAGGACACTACAGAAAAGGACATACAGTGCTTAAGGGCTCTGTTTTCTTTGTGTGATAGAAGAGTAGGTCTTAGTCCTATTAGATCCAATCTCTCCTTTTTAATCATATATATTTTATAATGCCTCCCTTCCTACTCTAAAGCGACATTCATAGATAAGCTACCTACATATGCCAAGGTAAGTAAGTGGAAGTAGAGAAAACAAGGAAGTATTATATTACTGCAAATGAGCTTGGTCTTACTTATTTCTAAGTGTGGTGTCAAAATAATCCCAAGTTATATCATGGGATGGGGTAGGAAGAATGTATTACAGAAAACATATCCTCTGCCTTGAAATCCCATTAAGACACACAATCAGTGTCTAATCTGTAGAAAGACCTTGGAGAAGTTATTCTTTGAAACTGAATTTCAAACGAGGAAGATAAGATGGGTGAGACAAACAGTAATACAAGAGGCAATAAAGCAGTTGTGTAATAGCCTGGGGATAGTTTTAGGATAAAACTGAAAGACTATAATGATCCCCCCAAAGGGCAATAATATGAATTACTAAAATAGGTATATTAAAGAAATCTACTAAGATCCTTGAATTTTACATGTCTTCACTAACTTAGTAATTGAAGTCTGAACAGGAATCTCAGATCTCATTATGTATTTTCAATTGGTTTAAGAAAGTAACCATCAAATACACTGAAATCCTTTTCAACTAAATATGCAAGCTGGAAGTGCTGTAATTCAGAACAGAATGTGCTGAGTGAACAAATCACTCAATTATTTTGAGATAGTATCTGTACTCACTTAGGCTCTCTCTTTATACCAACTGTGGTTGCCAGAATTCTGAAGATGATTCCCCAAGATCCCTGTTCCTTGGTTATGTACTCAAACACCAGTCTAGGTCCTGCACTGCAGGAATTTTGCACATGTAACTGAAATCCTCAGTCAATTGATTTTAAGATATGGAGATTTTATGGGTAGACCTGATCCAACCAGGTGAGCACTATAAAGCAGAGAGTTTTCTCTGGCTAGTAGCAGAAGGGGAAGTGAGAGATATTCAAACAAGAGACTCAATGTGCCACTGTCAGTTTCAAAGGTAGAGGGGGCCATGTGCAGGGACTAGAGAGCAGCCTCTAGGAGCTACTAGGCATGACCTTCAGCTGACAGCTAACAAAGAAATGGGACCTCACACCTACAACCACAGGAGCCGGATTCTGCCAACAAGCTGAATGAGTTAGAAACAGATTCTTCCTCAGAGCCTCCAGATAAGAGCTAGTCTGGCTGACACCTGGATTTCAGTTTTTTGAGACCCTGAGCAGAGAACCCCGTGAAGCCTAGCTTCTGACCCACAGAACTGTAAGCTAATAAATGAGTGTTGTTTTAAGCTGTTAAGCTTGTGGTATTTTGTTAGGCAACAGAAATCTAGGACAACAACCTTCTAACTTAAACTTTCTATTTAATTTCTCCTGAGGAGTTTTTAGTATTAATAAGTACAACACTATCAATTAACATTTGTAGAGGGGTTAGCCTGCAGGATATATGAAAGTCGAGGGGATGCAGAACAAATCTTCACTGAAGCTGACTGTCTGAGACATTGCAGGACATGTACGCACAGCACCCTCATTCACTACAGCAATCAAAATACCCTCACGATTTTCCAAAGTGCATTCTAAAAGGGGTGTGCTGCTCTTGTTGAGATCAGCTGAGAGTCACTGGACTAAAACAAGCATAATTCACTGGAAAAAACTTAGAAGACTTGCCATATTCACAACCTCACTTGAAAATAGGTCATAAACATCTCTCTCTTCTCAAAACCTCTCTAGTAGCACCTACTCGCAATAAGCTCATTTTAGTTTAAAATTTTAACCTACACGTCCAATGCCTTTTTCCACAACAGGTTACATGGAAACATCTTATTTGAAAAAGTTTCTAAGATTTGTGCAAGGAAATTATTTTTGTAAGTTAACAACAAATTTGTTCAGTTTCACTTTTCTTTTTTAAAGACTTTGTTTTGAGAGTAATTTTGGGTTCACAGCAAAATTGAGAGGAAGGTACAGAGATCTCCCATACGCTTGTCCCCATTCGGGCACAGCCTCCCCACTGCCCACACCCTTCACCAGAGGGGCATTTGCCACAGATGATGAACCTACACTGACACGTCAAAGTCACTTGGAGCCAAGAGTTTATCTGAGGACTTCCTGTTACTGCTGTACATTCTACGGGGCTGAACAGATGTAAAATGACACGTGTCCACCATTACAGTATCATACAGTCATTTCACTGCCCTAAAAATTCTCTCTGCTCTGCCTGTTCCTCTTCCAGTTTCCTTTTTAACCCAAGGTAAAACAACAAACCCAAAGAAGAGTTCAGCAAGTCTCAAGAGGTGTAAAAACACACGCAGCTTTGGGGACCTCACTTGTAGCTCATGGATGAATGTGATTCAGCTACAGGGAGTCCCAATCTGTTTTTCCATTCAAAATTCCAAATCCTTGCTAGAAAAATGTCTGAGCAGTCCTGTCTGGGCCAGGTATGCACTGTGGGCTTGGCCAGCTACAGCCTGAGACACAGGCGGGGCGTAGAGATGCGGCTGCAGGACTGGAAACACTTCCAGAGAGGATAAACTCTCCTGAGCAGGGCAGCTCCTCAAGACATGTCTTTTCCACTCATGTGATCGCAGAGGGGTCCAGAACTAATGTGAGTTGCATTCATCGCTATCTGGTTCTTCTTGAAAATTATCATACTATATGTGTAATCCCATTTTTTCTTAGAACTTATAACACATAGTCTTGAAGGACAGACACCAAGATGTTAGCAGTGGTTATTTATCTTTAAGTAGTGGGCTTATGATCCAAATGCATTTCCTTCTTTGTGATTATCTGAGTTTTTACAATAATGAATATATAGCCCCCCTGGCTGAAGGGAAACACCTTCCCCCACTTCCCTGGTTTCTATGAGAAGTTTTCCCCCCAAATACATCTAATCTCTCTCTGCCAGTTAATCATTTTAACCGGGAAAAGAAGGTTGACTGTCGGAGCAGTAAATCTGTGAAGAATAAACGATGTGCTCAACTCAGCTGTTTTGGGATTTCTACAGTGAACCCCTCCATGCCTCCCCAGGCTCTGCTGCCTGGGCCAGGCGAGAGCTGAGTCTAATTCTGGAGTTCAGTTAGTAAACCTCTGTCTTACACACTAACACAAGGCCTCCAGCTAGGCCTGTATCACTAATGAAGGTGATTTTTAGGGTCCTTATGCAAGTCCTTTGAGTTATGTTTCAATGTTCAGAACATAAGGAAGAAAAAGAGGGGATTTATTAGGCTCCCTCAAATATTCCAGGCCAAACTTGTCTTCAAAAATATTCCAGGCCAAACTTGTCTTCAAAATCCTGGTACATTCATTTTTAAAGGAGGGAATAGGTGAAATTTCCTTAATTATCATTATT